ATATATATATATATATATATATATATATATATATACTTTCAGTTTGACTTATTTCTGTTTTGAAATTTGAAATCGAGGCTTTCATCCACCTTGATATAGCCGGATGCCAATAACTGGCACATCCCTGCAGTTTATTCATCTAACAGGGAGGAAGAAGGTACAAACAAGTACGGAAAGAAGACAGGGTGCAAGAAAAGGAGAAGAGGGTGTCACAAAGCATTAGTCAGATGGACCAGGGTTGCTCTTGTGCCATGTCAATGAGAGGAGAGAGAGAGAGAGAGAGACCAAGGGAAATGTGTTTGCATGCTTTAAGTGTGTAATGCATGAGTGTGCAGGGCCTGCAACCAGTTGAGAAGAGGTAAAAGCTTTCTGTGTGTGAGAGAGAGAGAGAGTGAGACAGAAAGAGAGGGAGAAAATCTCCAGACAGTGATGAGAAGAGGAGGCAGCCTGCCCTCATTGTTTAAAACAAAAGAAGCCCCTTGAGCTATGTATATATACAAAAAAATCCAGTATTTGTGTGCTGTGTGTGTATGTGCTGCTTTTTTAGCCAGAAAACTAGTAGCACAATGTAAACAAACTGGATGGTTCAGATAGCATATGTCAAACAGGAAACTCTGCTGCCCACAGGTTAGGTTTATATTAAGAGGCATGCTTGGTAGACACACATGCATACACCCCCCCTGAAGGCAAAGTTTAAGGAAAACTCACTTGGGATTGGAGCTGTTCCAGTAAACGGCGTGCCTGTCAAATATGATCTTCTCCTCCGCCCACACGGTGACCCAGGACAGGACGGCCAGCAGCACCAGCTCCATCACACACCTCTGTCCGAGCTGGTGAAGCATCACAGCCATCCAAACGGAACCTGTCTCTGTATCAAGCGGATCGGGCTTCTTCACTGCGGTGCTGCAGAAATCCTCTCCTCTAGATCCGAAATGTCCGTCTGCGCTTCTTTGGCGGTGCGGGGATCGTTCGCTGGTTTGATTAGAGTCCCGATCTCCCCCAGGAGTGTTTCAAGTCATAATGGATGGTTAGAAATTCACTAGGAAACTTGGTCTGATGCGTTCAGAAGAAGCGGGGTTCACATGTTATTTACAAGTGGCGGGATGATGCGAGCGCCTCCGAAACTTTTCTCCCATTACGCGCAGTCGGAGCGGTGGATGCGCCACTTGGATCAGATCCCAATCAGTTTCCAAAATCCCTCCAACACCCTGGCTTCTCGCAGCTTAACATAAACGGGACAAAATCCGCATAGTTTTATTGCTTTCTTGAGGCGCCAGAGGAGAAGAAATCTTCACACCTTCCCTTTTATTTTGCGTTCAGATTTAAAGCGCAATAACAGCTGCGGGACGCCAGCATCCTCTCTCAATACATCCCAACTTGGTGATCCCTCCGCCGCCGCCGGCTCCGCTCCAACGTGACTCCGGGGACCTGTGCGTCACGCTAAGACCAGGTGCGCGCGGGGAGCCGTCGGTCCACTCACTGCTTTAATCCCAGCATGTTTCTGTGCAGCCTCTACCTATGGCGGCAGCATCACTCACTGAAAGCCTGATTTGGAGAGTAGCCCTCGCCCCCACTTTTTTTTTTCTTTTTCTCTCATCATCGCTCCTTCTCCTTTGGAACGGGCGGGGCCAGTGGCCGCGCAGTGCCGCGCTCCCTCTGGGGACCTGAGGGGCCGGCTGACTCACTGCGCCCTGGAACACAACTGGGACTGAATAGAGGTCATTAAACGCTCATTAAAAGTTAATCACCTTTAAATCTGACATAACTGTCTGTTTGTTTTTTGTTCAGTAAATTAGTGACATTAAAGCTCAAGCAGAAACTTCATTTTCTTAAGATAACTAGTTTTGACCCGAGCCAGCCTGAGTCATGACCAAACTAAGCAACTATATATAGTTTCCAAAATTTCCTTTCATTGCATAAAACATAAAAAATCTCATAAGGTTAGTAATCGATCAAATAAGGAATGCAAAACGCTTATTTGCGTTTGTAGGAAGGGCATCAGTTAATGTTTAACCCTTTAAAACCAATTGTATCATATTTGATACACGAGTTCTTAAGATCTTTGCATCATCAGTGTGATCTTGCTTATCTTAAAAACCCTGACTTACACAATCAGACACATTTAGTGAAAAGAAAACGCATATAATATTTTACAGAAATGCCAAATGTATCAGAATTGATGCAAATAAAAGATCTAATTTAACTTATACTATATATATATATATATATATATATATATATTATTTTTCTTTCATTTTTCAGAGTTCAATTACAACTCTAAATAAAAAAATAGAATTTTCTGTCAATTATTTCATGGTCCAGGCTTTAAAGGGTTAAAATGACTTTTATTGCTTTCATAATATAGATTTCTGCCTTGTTTCTTTTTATCAGTTGGGGTGGCCATCGCGCCCCCCATGCCCACTGCATTGTTCAGCTCTCTGTATTGACACCGAATATGATGCATGGGATGCGCCAAGATTAAGATCTGCTTGAAAGATGCTGCCTGATGGATCAGCATGGAGGGAAGGAAGGAAGGAGAGAGCGTTTTGATGGATTGCTGGAACAGTGGAGTCAATTTTCATTAGAGTCTATTAGGGCCCAAATGGTACGAGGATGGGGAGACAAATTCAAAAGGTGAGAGCCACAAACCTTCTGACAGCTGACAGTGGTGGTTCATACTGAATGCTACACATTCACAAGGTGTGCTGTCGTTAAAGAAATGCACTTAATTATGCACCATTAAAATGCTTTACACATTCAATGTAATTACATACTAAATAGATTTTTCTGTACATTGAGTAAAATAATGGGCAATTCTTTTAAAGTACAAATAACTTTTCTCATTTTTTTTAATGTTGCATTCTTGCACCTCTCCTTCAAACATGCTGCCCAGAGCAGAGAGCCAAGTCGCCAATTACCAAAACCCACCATTGTCTGCCAGACCTGATATCCCTCTATTTCTGCAAATGTGAGCAAACTCTTGAGCTGAAGCAGCATCTGTCTGTATTTGGTCTGTGCCCAGAGGGAGGTGGATACATTTGTAAGTGCATTGTTGCACACGGCATCCACAGGGTGCTCCATGCTGTTTCTAACATGTGTTTACAAGTTGCCTTATGCAGATCCTGAAACGAGGAGGAATTCCATCTTTGCACAGTGAGAAAATGATTCAGGGAAACTATTTGCAACTATTTCATCTGCATTTTCAAGGACAAAATAAGTTGTAAAAATGTTAATTTAACTCAGTTTGAAGTGAATTCTACCATATTATATGTATACATATATAAAAAAGAAGGCAGAATATGTATCTCCACCATTCCAAAATCATGTAGGCCATCTTAAACCGAACCTTTCTGCAGCTCCATCTTTCCCATTTCATTTTCTATCTCTCTTAGATCCTTTATGCAAAGTGGCCTACTTTTGCTCTTCCTGCAAAGTAATGCCTGTAATTTGGGATTTGCACATTCCGGCAGTGAAAGAGCCCATGCACCCCACCCCCCATAACCCAAATACAGCCTCATGTTGTCCGCCTCTGTGTATGAATTATTCAACATCTGTCTGAGGCGTGCATATATAAACAGGTTGTCTCCTGGTGGTTTTTTTAAATGGAGCCACTATATACTAAAGGCATCTCTCACCTCAGTTTCAGAGTTTTCCTGCATCTGTGTCACCATGAAACCGAGTCCAAATCTCATGTAAGCTGACTAACAATACTGGGCTGATTCGGATAAGGCAGCGTATTTAGTCAGCTTAAATCTGGATTCCAGTCTACTTTAAGGAGTGTTTAATCTTATACCTTACAGCTGGTTAAGTGTGTGATGGCCCTGCAGTGTGACTTGAAACAAGGACACAGAGGCAGAGATGAATTCGAAATGTGTTTTAAGCAGAAAACAGCATTGAAACAGTCTTTTCTTTATTTAAAAGTGCAACTGACAACATTCGATATGGTCTTGTTGACTTGTCTGGCATTAGCAGGAACAGATCACATCACAGTTTATTCAGAACTTTAACCGCTTTAACATCCCCTCCCCACCTCTTTTTGTAAACCCAGAAGGTTCACATTTGTGTGGCCTTAGCAGTCCCTGATTAGAGACTGCTCACTAATGTAAATAATTGCCTCCAGATGTGGTTGAATTACAATCTCAAATGTGATCAATCAGCCGTGGGCTCAGAAATTCTGGGGACCTATCAAAGGTTTGAATTCTGAAAGCAAAGGTGAAACAGGTGACAACGTTAGGAATAATAAATAATCGTTGGTTTGGTTTTAATAGAGGTTTTGACAAAGACAGCCGATTAAAAGAATGTATGGGTGTGGGAAAAAATGTTTTTGGCGATATATTGTGATTTTTCACTGCCTGACATAATATCAATCTTTCAGTTCATAGTATAATTTTTTTTTTAAAAGAAAACATTTTTACCGAAAGATATGAGTGGAAAATGGGCTACCTCTGCACCCCCACTCTGGCACATAAAACTGTGGAGCCTTTTTGTTGTGCTGCGCCATAGCTGTAGATGAGGCAGTCACAGGGGAAGACATGGACGGACTAGAACCCCAAATAACTTAGATACCAAAATAACTAAATGATCAAGATCTTCTGTTGAACATATGCACCACTAGCTTTTTTTTATATATACATTTAATTTTGATAGCTGTTAAAAAAATATATCGATAGTGATGTTGCCATATCGTGATATCTCATCGTGATCCAAGTATCGTGATGGAAAACGCCAATACTCGCTCCCAAAAGAAAGCAGAGCTTTTCCAAGACTTTGAGTTAGTTTCTCTAACCTATATAATGAGATACCAGAGAAAGTGGTGCAGTAAATAGCATATTCCACCAGTTGTGTTGATTTTATTCCTCCCCTTATTTGTTGCTGCACCCTGCTTGCCAGCTTGCTGAAAGAAGGCTACTGTATGTTTTTCTCACTTACTAGGGGAATAGTTTGTAACATTTTGGATATTTCTGGTTGAATACATTCAGATTTTCTGAATATAGAAAATTGGATGATGCAACACTGTAGACTTTAGCTATACTATCCTTTTCTAGGAAAAATAATTTGACAGTAGATATTAGTAGACTTATTCAATTTCTGCACAAGGTTATCACATCAAGAATCTCATCCTAACCTTTTCTTATGCCCAGGATTATAAATAACAAACCATAATCTTTCAGCAATTGTTTTGTTTTGTTATAGTTATGTCATCTAACCCTTCAGCTCATTTGCATTTCAATATATTCCAAAGAAGATTTAGCATGAACTTCTTTCTGCATCGCATTTTGGGTGAGAAATTCTCAAAGTTAACAAGATGCTGAAGTAACAGAGCAGGATGAAAGAAAAACAAAAAACATTTTAGTACACAGTCCACTGTTATCTGGACTTCAGACCAAATGTCTGAACCTGGGCTGAGATCAGCAATGTTGCAAAGCTTTGCAACATGGCAGAATCTGATGCCAGGATTTTTCATCTCGTAAGAAGCACCGTTTGTGAGATATATTAATTTATGCCGTTTGTAGAAAATAAAGTTTCAAAGCATTGTGAAACAGGTAGAGTTTAAAACCCTGATTCAGACCAAAGGTGTGACCAAGTCTGTTCAATTATAGTGTTAAACCAAATCTTTTTAACATGTTTACTGATGCCAATGCATTTGTTTCTAAGCAAAAATACATGCATCATCAACCATTACAAAAAAATAATAAAAATACATTTATCAATTAACAGAACTGGGAGAAAATGTAAAAAGTGCCTTTTTAAATCGATATATTTACTGTAAAACTTGAAAAGCACTTAACTACTGTATAACCGCTGTCTCAGAAAGGATTCTGTCATATAATGAGAAGGTAGCTCAGCCTGAGAAACTGGATTCCACAGCTCTAATCATCGTGGTTGTAATTTTCAGTAGTAGAATATTGGATTTAGGTCTAGGATTTAGGATTTCTACCCCACAAGTTAAATCTTGTTGGTTGAGAGACAAGATGGCAACATGTTTTTTTGTTTAAACGGTGAACTCTGACCTCTACAACATAAATATCAAATAGAAAATGAGCTTAATGCTGAAACACAACCCCTCAAAGAATGATGCTATCAATAAAATCAGCATCATGCATCTCATAAAATTTTGTCATCGATTTCTACGGCAACATTGTTTTTTGTATTGAAATATTTATCTTAGCAGTAAATGATTAAGCTGAGGTTAAAGTACCAGATATTTTTATTACTGAACATTTGTGATAAAATTATTTTCCCAAATCCTCAACATACTTATCCTGACCTGTATTCTATACAAATTCCACTCACTATAAAACATTTGCATAATGGCTTACAATAGAATGGGGCTGGTATTTTAATACCTAGCATCAAAAGGCATCATTACACATCAAGATGAATTCAATAATTTGTTAGATTACCCTCAGCTCAGAAATGCTAAATACTAAGTAAAGTCCTGAGATATTCACATCAAGTACTAAAATACATGGCAGGTTGTAACCTTTAGCGGTTAGACCAATTATATAAACCAAGAGCTCCACCTAGTGGTAGAGAATATACAACCAATGTGGTTTGTTTCACCTGTATTGTTTTAATCCCAAAGAAATTTTGATATGAATGTCAGATATATTTTGAAGAAAATAATCCAGTTTATGAGATATGGTGACTTGGTTCCTGCAGGAACATTTCCTCTATGTTGTAAAACTGAAAAGATCAAAGCAAAATGCAGTGCAAATGTAAAATATTCAATAAAAGAACACAAACATTCAGCTAAAGGTTCTGTCGACCGCCAAAGGATGAAGCCGATTCCAGATGCGAAGTCAAGTTTGAAGTCAGATGGTATGAAGATGAAGTTGGAAATGCAGTGAAGGACGTCAGGTACAACCCACCAGTAGTAAACAGGATGTGGAATATAGGAAATGTTACAGAATTGTTAACCAGCAGATTGGCAGCATCACAGAAAAGCAAAAGACAGAAACCAAATGAGGCCAGATGAAAGAAAGAACAAACTAAAGATTTATTAAAGGCAGCAGAAGATGCAAGAAACAAGAATGGCAAAAACAAAAAAAAACAAAAGGGGGGAGCGGGTGGGGCACATACAGACACACCTCCGTGTTCAGATAGTTTAATGTCTTTGTGTTACAAAAGTTTTTTTTATTTTTCCAGCTCTGAGGAGCTTCATATGTCTTTGTGGTTTATCAAAATATACATGTTTTGAACTTAAAGTGAATATAATCCAAATTCTTTTGTGGTACAAAAACATGAATATATACAATCACACAAACCCCACATCATACATTTAACCCCAACCCGCCCCTTATAAAAAGAAAAATAAAAGCTTTTAACAAAAAAGGCATATAATCTTCTAAACTGTTATCACAGCTAAAGACTGTTCAACGAAGCTTTTATTCTAAAGCCATCTCTGCCAAAGTAGGCTCTTTGTAAAGTGAAAACAAACAGTATAAACCGTCACCTTAACGACTTCTGAATTCAATCCTTGTGGTTTTGCAGAACAGCAGGAATGTGTCTTAAAAAAAAAAAAAAAAAATCAACATTTGAACACTAGAAAATAGCCGGGGGTAAATTACACTTTGGTCCTTAACAGCAAAAACCGTCTGCAGCTACATGAAGCTTTGAGTCATGCATAAGAAACTTTCACATGAATAGAAACAGAAGTCATCCGTTACTGGTCCAAGACTACAGTGGTCAGGATTGTGGAAACTGGTGCTTGAGGCCTGCAGGAATGTGAGATTGTTTTTAAGACTTCAGTGTGATGGTGTCTGTTTTGACTTAAAGGAAAAGTGCACAAGCTGACTGTGGCTAAGCTGGACAGAGGGGTAATGAGGCTTTTCAAACCTTTAAAAAAAAAAACATTTTTTTAATGAAATGCAGCTTAAGACTTTAATTCATAAACTTGTGAATGCCTCCAAGCTGCCCTCTCAGTTGGGATTAACCTGAATGTTTTTGTTTTTTTGTAAAGGCATCTGTGCAGACAGGATTGATAAGATTTAAAAGAGAGGTAAACAAAGTCCACTGACCAGGCCTGTTTCAGCATTGGAATAAAAGGTCAAAGGGACAAGGCACTCCACTAGCCATCAAACTCAGCTACTTAGAAGCACAAGTCAGTTAAATATAGGCAAAATACATGTAGATCTACTACTAAAAAAAGATAAATGAATATAGTTTTACACATATATATGAACATAACCTGGTTAAATGAGGCCCCAAACCCAATAAAAAGGTAACGGGACTGTAAAACTGAAGGGCTGGATTCAGCTCTACATCAGCAACAACACACTTAAACAGAGCTACATCACCTAAAACAAAGATTTAGCATCTAACTGATTTACATTCATAGATTCTAAATACATATAATGGGGCTATATGCTTAAAGATAAACAGATGTATTTTAAAGAAGAAAGATGATTAAATGAGCCACTTCCCCCTTCTTAATGCTGGTAAATACCAAAAGAAGGTATGGAAAACTTACATACCAAACGATTAAGCCAGTGTATCCTGGCTGGGGTAAAGTAAGGCACAAAAATACAAAAAAAAAGGAGAAAGAAAAAGGGTCCATACAGATAACCTTCTGATAGTGGTCTGGATCCCCTGAAGGAAATTGGAGGACAGACAACATAAAGAAAGATGGGGGATGATCTGAGTTTCAAAACTTAGAAATTCTTCATCTTAAACCGTTTCTCACTGGCCAAACAGGGTTAAGGTTTTTAAAACGGCACAATTTCACAAAGCTACACGAGCAAAGGAATGCTAAAGTGGGGCGGGAATAATCTAGATAGATCGTTTTATGCTAGAGGGCATCTTTGTGTTCAAAGTTGGTCAGCTGCCTCTACTTTGCTTCCAATACATGTTTTGGTTACAGAATGTTGCCCATTTCAAAATGCTAACATTTTGTCTAAACAGAAGGAATGATTAGGTTTTGCTGCTGAATGTTTAGTATAAACTATGATATATATATATATATTTAAAAATCTAAATGCTCAAATTAGATGGTTTACCTGAGAACTGCTAAGATTTTCTAATCAATGTTAGCAAATAAGAGATGAAGCCAACCTGCCCATTTTGAAAACAACCAAATTGTGCATGAAGTTGGCACGATCCATCTACTAGGGTTGGACATCAAATATGAAAATATAAAACAAAACCAAAAGTTTGGCTCTGTTACTATATTTAGGACAAGAAACGACATTGTATGGATCTGATCTGAAATCTAAACTAAATCCGAAGGGAAAATAAATGGGCAACATCCTCATGAAAAAAAAAAAAAGTTACCAACAGTATAAATATGTTATGAAGGCCATTTTCACTGAAGGCAACAAGAACAGTAGCGTTCAGTTGGCAGGGTGCGAGGAAGGACACTCAGATGGTGGACTTTGAGAAGGACACTCGAAGGTGATGGTTCTCTCCTAGGTCATGGTTGTGGAACTCGATGAGGCACTCGATCGCCTCCTCCACGGAGCCCATCTGGATCAGGGCCATCTTGCGGTCCTTTCTGTTAATCAAAAAATAAAAATATTAATTCTTCCGAAAAGTGTGCAGCTGTGAACAAAGAGGTTATACCTTAATTGGGTCAAACGATTACAAGAGACGTTTTTAACCTCTTAAAATAATTCAGGATAAAAATGAACTTACTGAAAGAACTTGAAGGCTTTGACTGTGGCTCCTGAGCTTGCAAAGAGTCTTTTGAGATCATCCTCCATCACTGAAGGTCTGAAAACACAATGTAAAATTTAATTTGGAAATAAAGGATAAAACTGACCCAGTTTAGTGTACTGTATAGCCCTTTAGGGCTGAATATATAATAAAAGGCAAATAAGTGCTGGCCTGAGGTCTGACTTACGGTATGTTGGAGAGGTGGAGTGTTGCAGATGGAGGGAAGATGTTAGAGTAGTTTTTGGAGCCAGGCTTCTTGAAGCGATGAAGTGGGGAGTTGCTGTAATCCTTGGTAAGACCCTGGTCCTCATGGCCTTCTCTGGGCAGCTGGACTGTCGTATGCTTCGACAACGTCACGCGCATGGCCCTGCCATGAAGGCGCTGGCCATTCAGGTGGCTCATGGCTGAGAAGGGGATGGAGATCAACCTCTTAGCTTCCATTTGGATAATTCATGAGTGCCTCAATAATCATCTGTTCCTTCCTGTACATTTTTTTTTATGTCCTAAAATGTGGATGTTAAACTATGCATGTGTATAATATAGAGCATTTCGCTCAGGAACAAAGCTTAGCAGCTTTACCCTTGTTTTAATATAACTTGGTAAAAATGAAGCTGCTACAATGCATGTCACTTCAGCTTTTTATTTGCAAAGAAAGTGATTTTCTTGCCTTTTAAAGTAGTGACTTTGGACAAAATTGAATAAACATGTTGGCTGCTTTTTGTGGAGCTCTACTGTAAAATGTGGGAAAGACTGAAAGAACAGATCAAGACAAAGCATATGGACTGAGATGGTCTTTCAATGAAATGAAATGCTTTTGTTTATATTATTTTTAAAAATTAGATTAATTAGGTTCAACTTTTAATTAAACAAGCTTTAAGCCAAAATGAAGTATTTTCACTATTTTATTCAGGAAAAAAAAAAAATAGACTATCCCAAAAACAAATAAAAATCAAACTATAAGGAAAATGTTAGCAAGATTAAGAACAGAGATGGTAGAGATACACATCTTTTACCTAGCTGAGCCTGTGTGCCATCAGACATCTGGACTAGAGCGTTCTCCTTTTTATTGAACAGGATCTTCACTCTCATGACATCACCATACACGCCTATGGAAAGAGCAGAGTTTGTCACAACACGAGCGAAGTAAGAAAGTACCACACAGCATACAGGAGCCACACAACCAATCACAGCAACAAAAACGCCTTATCTAATCAGTAATCTTAGTACAGCTAAATGAACAATCTGAGGTTATATTTTCACTATTCTATTAATGATCTGCTTAATTTTGCCAACTAAACCTAGTCAAGTCCTCCATACACAAAATACCACTAGATTATCTTTAAAAAGAAGAGGCAATGATTCGAGGACAAATCAGCAAGAGTTGCAAGATGAGTAGTTTTGATCAACTGGATCATGGCAGACGAGGAAAGTTAATTAAATGGCCGACTAAGGGCCTAAGCAGAAACATGCAGAAATAAACTACACATGCACATACCTAAACTGATTAAAAAAATAAATAAAGACACTAGAGTGGCATAAACAAAGGAAATGGCAACTCAATTCAAAAAGCAGCAGCATTTCATTTTTTTTAATGCATTAAAGAAGCCCAGAAAAGTAAATAAAATTTATTTACAAAGCTACATCGCTGGTTAAGAATCATTGTGTTTTGACCTATACTCTCCGATGGAAATTTTTTTCATTTCAAATAAATAAAAGCAAAGCAACAGATTAATTAAAAGGACTCTGATCTTTAAGATAATAAAAAATGTTTTTTGCCAAAGGTCATTTAATCAAACCTAAATGAAATGCTGCAGCTTCATGTGGCGTCCCACCTTACTTTTTCTCAATCCCACAACAACCAAACCATTCAAACACCCAAAACAGACACCCCCAGCCTTAAGAGCTCTGTAGTCTGATGAACAATCAGTAGTAAAACAAATAAATAAATGAACAAAGCCAACAACATGAAACAAGACATGCCCACCTCGCCACGTAACAGTAGTAATAAAAAAAGGAGATGAAAGGATGATAACGTACCGAAAAGAATAAAGAGGCAGTGTGGCGTAACGGTCTTTAGAGACAGCAGGGGGAGGGAGCAGCGGGGTGGGGGGGCAAAAGGGGAGAGGGGACAGGGGAAAAGAGGCGGAGCGGAGGACAGTGGAGTGGAGTCGGGACATGTCCGCAGGCCACAGGCGGCGAGGTCCACAGGAAGGCCACAGTACCATGGAGGAAGTAGAGGCATGAGAATGATGGAGGACAAAGTTGGAGATGAAAGATGATGGGATGAAGAGAAGGATGGGGGGGTGAGGGGGGATTGTGGCAAAATCAGGGTGACCAAAGTGGTGCCAGGTTTGTATTTTCAATTTAAGGGTCACATCAAAATTAGGGTACAACGTATGGAGGGGAAAAGGGGGTTTGGGTTGAGGGAGGAGTAGTAATGGGGGGAGTGCCAGAAGGGAGGGAGGAGGACAGAGGGGGACAATTGATCATGGGGAGTGCAGTCAGTTGGCAAGATATGAGGTGAGGGGGGGGGATTTAAAAACAAAAAGATGGAGAAGGAGACAGAAATAAAGAGAGAAAAGGTGAAATAAAAAATAAAAAACAAGTCAGTATACACAAAGAAATGTAGTGCTTCAGACAGTAGAGCTGGCTAAATTAAAATGCACTTTCACTATGGGAACACTAGAAGAAAAAGAAGAGAAAAAAAGATTAACAATGAAATACAGAAAAAGGCAGAGACAATATATACTTTTAAATTACACTAACTTTAAAAAGAAAATGATTTAATGGTTTAAATAAACGAAATCAGCTTATTTTCCAGGTGCCCACCCTTAAATTTATGTCTTTAATCAGTGCGATGATTATAGTTGCATCATTAAACTGCACATTACAGTAAACACTTAAAAAGTAATATTGTCTCTCCAACAACTTAAGAATGATTTAAACTAATGGATAAAAATGAAGATATGAAATGTTAAGTGCTTTTTACTTTCTTTTTAAAAAGAAGTTAGTTTTTAAACAAACTTAAAATTCAGTGAGCAAAGTGGCAGGTCAGAAATGCAGCAGGTTTGGTCAAACACAAAGAGGTCCTGAAAGAAAGGAGCTTTTGACTTGATGCTTGCCTTTATCAAACAACAGTTTATCCTTTTACTAACATGAGGAAAAATTACCCATACTGAAGATTTTTCTGAGTAAATAAACAAATTCACAAAACATCTCTTACTCAAAAAGCTTTTTAAATTTTTTATTCAACTTCAGTGAAGTACTGACCTCAGGGTTCAGATTGCTGACCAACAGCACGTTGTGCCCCCCAGTGGCACCGAGCCCCGACAGGCCAAGCCGGCTAGCTGCGGCCGCTGCAGCGGCTGCCATGCCGGTATGACCCATACCCAGGGATGCTAAGGCACTGGGAATGCCAGGAACTGACAGACCTGTGGAAAAGAAAACAGAAATGTATTAAAATTTAATTTCTTGTGAGAATAAAGCCAAGAATGGGACTGATTATAAAGTATACAAAAAAATATTCAGAGATGCACCAGGCAACTGTGACTGAATATGAAAACTGATTTGTAAATGTACCACACCAAAGTTCAACCATGTCGGAGCTGTCCAAGCTGCTACGACAGACAGTTAGGTTTAAGTGGCTAACAGATCTTTTAGTTCCTGCTATATCTTATTGTTTGTATTCGTTTTTCATATATCTGCCAAAGGAAGTTCTGTATTCCACCACAGGAATGTTTTAAAGAACTGATTTGGAGCATAACTGAAAGGCTAATAACACCCTTTCTGAAATCCCAGCTTAGGAAAGGTAGGCTCAACAACATGGTCTACTACTGGCTTGATAAACTACTAAAACATTTCGCTTATTGATGGTAGCACCACATTTATTTAAGTCTCTATAGTGCTGCTTCTGTTAAGCATCTAATGATACAGGTTATTCAAATGTGAGATACTGTCTATAGCTATGTTTTAAAGGAGAGGCAGCATACTGGGACAGAAGTATGGGTTGGGAGCAACCTTTAAGTTTCTCAAGTTGAATTCAATATTTTCAGGACTAAACCTTCCTGCTAATGGCAGTGATGTTAACCACTAATTGCTAATCAAAGATTAAACAAAAATTAGGTGGTTATAAAACTGCAATAACAGCTTTATTACATGCTGGATGCATTTTTAGGTTTGCTTTAAATATAATTCACTGTAGTATTTTTCAGACTCCAGTTCTTGTCCAGAAGCAAAACACCCTGATATAGGAAACACACTACAAAACAATGATTGGTGCACTAAACTTGTAAAAGTTATGTAGCAAATGAATGCATGTTATACTGACCAGCCTGCTGGATAGCAAACGTTGGGGGGAAGCCATGAGCTCCACCAAAGGGAGAAGCAGAGATTATACCCGGTGCAGCTGATGAAACAAAGAAAATAAAAAAGTCACCAATAAAACTTGATTCTAACAAATGAATAATAATTTTAGAAGAGAATCTAAAAATAGAAGATCAAATCTGATCGGATCATCGGTTGTTGGATCGATACAAAACGATTATTATTTACACCCCTACTGACCATATGCCTCTATTAATTAAACTAACCTCTAAAGCCGGGCATACACTGTACAAATTTTTGCCCGCTTCGGGTCAATTTTCCAGTCGTGTGAGAATTTTTTCGATCGTGCATCCTGAGTAGTGTTGTATACAGAGGGTATTTTATGCTGCTGAAGCATAGCCTCTGCAACTGTCAAATCTGTCTCTGTGCAGAACCACGTCTGACGGTCACAAACCCGCAAAGACAAAAAGCAGCTGTGATTGGTCCTTGGTATGACTTTACAGCTGTCTGTGTGGTTGTCCTTCTCTATTTGGTGTCAGGGCTTTAAAAAAAAAAACGAGGAACTACTAACAACTTGACGGAAGGTTATTTAAAGCAGTTTGTAAGCACAACCACTTGTACGATCACTCAGACAAATTATATAAATAAACCCTCTTCGATGGCTAGCAACTCTAGACCAATCTCTGTGACATCTTGCAGACGCGGCGCTGAAATTCTTGTGAGCTCTCGAATAGGATCCCTCTTGCGCTTTGGCGGGAAACTGCTGTGCGTCCGTATAAATTCCAGACCGACAGGGCAGAAGCATATTGCAAAACTGGTTCGCAACCAGACCCAAGCGACATTTGTAGGCATTTAAGTCTAATCTGTCTTTAACAAGGGCCAATTAGCCTCTCAGGACCACCTCCCAATCAGGAATCGTAAGGTCGGGAGAAAATCAAACATGTTTGAAATTCAGTCGGCCGTCGTATGGTGTTTGTGGCCAAATTCTGCTGTTGAAGCAGAGCTACGATCGTCTACGAAGCGATTTACCAGAAACTCCAGCACTGTGCATGTGTAATCAAGGGCGTTCTTTGTCTTACCAGCGACATCTCTCTGCGCCGAATGTGAGTAAGATCGCATCAGAGTGTCGGGCCGAAGTAAGAACAAACACTGTGAGCTTTGAACTTTTAAACCCTGAAGTTTCGTGGCACAGTTTGAGCTGTACCTGCATGCAACGATCGAAAATATTGTGCAGCGTATGCCCGGCTTAACAAGTAAACCTAACCACCCGTTAGACATTTTATATGGGTAAAACCCAGAACTAATTTATGCTCAGACTCACTGGAGGAGTTCTGGATAAAGAATATGTAGAGTCAAGTCTTTCCACTCTTAAAAAAAAAGTTGTTCGGTTTTGCCTTATAGTGACGACCTATTGTTTCATCCACTGCCTGGAGGACCTGTCTGGTCACCAGTTTTCCTCATGGTTTTGTAGCCTATCCAAGATCTTTTAGAAGCTAAGCAAATCTTTAGAGGCGTCGTTGGTTAAATTATGGTTAAAAGCACATTTTTCGAGAACTTTATCTCATTTATAATATCTACATTTTCTGTGACACTGAATTTGAGGATTTCATCACCTAGAAACCATGGTCATCATAACAAGAAACAAGTGACAGAAAATATAACAACCAAAATCTTTCCCCCGGTACACATTTCAGAAGTAAAGACTAATGATAACAAAATAAATATATATATATCTTACAGAAGGCTGCAGCTGCCATTGTCTGGTGGTCGAGTGAGGGGTGTGAATCTGCTGTAGGAAGGTCAGGGCGGGTGTAGTCCCTGCTTTTGTCATTGTTGTACTTGACATTGAGGCTTGTCAGCTTGGAGAAGCTGATTCTCAGGGTACAGCAAGCATTGTAGATGTTCTGGCCATCTAGAGACTAAAAACAAAAATCAGTTATTAGAGGTTTGCTGAAATATTTGGTCTAACAACTTAGAAAATGTTCTGCAAAGCCATTAGATAGATTAAGACCCGTTTTATCAAAGCAAATTTAAACAAATATCTAAAGATATGTGAACCAGTGGAGAAAACATCAAGTGAAACCAGTCTTACCAGTTTAGCATGCTGAGCTGTCATGGCATCAGCATACTGGATCAATGCCTGGAACTGGTTGTTCTTGGTAAAAGTGATGATCTTGAGCACAGTTCCAAACTTGGAAAAAATCTGAAATCAAAAAGGGGAGTTTAAGATTTCTTTCAAAACATAAAAATATTACCAGTAAAAAAGTACTACAAGACAAACTATTTGCTTTAAAGATTAATCATTTACTTCAGTCCACAACCCCATTCTTTTACCATAGGGGGAGAAAAAAGAAAAGTCATAAACTAAATATTTTAGTTTATTTTTAGTAGCTCAGTAGGTGGCAGTCTTCCTGTGTACAAGTTAGCATAATCAAAAGCAGCCTTCTGTTTATCCCTGGCATTGATAAAATGCAGCCAGCCAAATTTACACACATCAGCTTTAGTTACAAAAACACTTTCTAATACGATGGGGGAAATAAAATAGATTTAGTTTCTGTTAAAATAAACAGCCTTGTTATTAAAAAGTACAACGCAAATAAACGCAAAATTATGTTGGACCCAAGATCACTATTCAAAATTGTGTTCCAATAATCTAAGATCATACATATCTTTAATAAAGATAAATATATCTTTAAATATGGCCACAGTGGTAATACCTGATGCAGGACATCCAGGGTGACGGGGTAGAAAAGGTTTTCCACAATGACTCTGAGAACAGGGCTTTGGGCTACGCCTCCTGCCATACTGCTTGCATCTGTAGGGATGGCCATACTCGCCATTCCACCTCCATGCAGGGCGTTGACTGCCTGCAGAGCTGCCTGGGCACGCTGAAAGAAATAGAGATTATCTCAGTTTAGTCGTTGAAATGGGTGGGTGGTCTTGAACTTGTCAGGTTGCAAGAAAAAGCAAAATGGAAGGGGGTTAATAAAAAGGTTCCTACACATTAAAATTCAAATCAAACTCACTACTCAGCATTATGGCAGATGGGTCTATAGAGGTCAATATTTAAATAAGAAATGAAGAAAATGGAACAGATAACAGGAAAATGGAACAGGGAAACAGGGAAGGTATAAGAACAGCAGTAGGGATGGGTCCTAAAACCTGGTATGAATATGGCCCTGGGGTACATCAACAAGCTTCAGCCTTTACAGAGATTCCAAATCAGATAACATTATTCTGCCCATCTCCTGTTCCTGGACTGAGTGGAGGGGCCAAAGCTCCGCCCCCACCTGTTGGTCTAACTTACTCTAAACAACACTCGTAAATTTAGTGACTTCATCAGGATATTTTGAGGCCATTCAGACACATTTAATTTTTTCCCTAAAGTGACAAGCAATATTCTATATCATTTAGTTCTATGGCAGTAAGGACAAAGATTGGTTTGACATAACGATGGAACGATAACGGGGGAAGAAAAAAAAAAAAAGGAACCAGTAAGTGGACAAGAGAAAAAAGGAATAGGGATGGACAAGGGATAGATTGATGAAAAAGGAAGGAAGGGGTGAATACACAGGGACATTGGGGGTGGGGTCAGTAGCAAGTGGACCAGGAGGGAAGGAATGAATGACAACAATTAGAAGTTTCAACAGAAATCAGGATCCTATTGTCTGCAGGCAACATGTGCAATTTGACCCTTTAAATTGACGTTTTTACTTTAAATGAAGAAAAACCCCAAAGCCAACATGATTGCGTGGTTTAACCGCCACCCTTACTTACCACTTGGTTAGGAGAGTTGTCTGTCTTGAGCTCCTTATGAGTCGAGTACTGCATGTAAATGGGTTGGTTTCTGATGACAGGAGTGACAGAAGAATAGTAGCTCACCATCGTCTGTGCACACTCTTCACTGTTAAGCTCCAGAAAGGCCTGCAGGGGGAGCACCAGAGAAAAGACATTAGTGCCCCACAGTTAACGCTCTTTAATGGCACATTTTATTTGCTACAAATTATTACTTTTACCAAGAAAAAACAAAAACACAAAGGGTTAAAAAATCATCCCATTTGAATTTTTAACAAGCAGCACGTCTAAAACCAAAGCAATAGGAATTAGACTTTCAGGTCAGTATAGCAAGTGGACCCCTTATGCTTAGCTTTGGGGAAAACCTTTTATTAGACCAGTACTGCAAACCTTACAGGTTTGGTAGAAAGACCTGCATGTACTTTTCCTTACCTGATTTTTCCCTTTCAACATCAGCAGATTAGTGACCTTCCCAAAGGGCAGTCCCAGGCTTATAACCTCAGCCTCGTTGATGTCATTGGGCAGTTTGCGTACGTGGACCACACGTGATGGGACACCAGGACTGCGGACATCTCCTTTGAATTTTTTGCTGTCGTTGCCATTGGCTGCAGGAGAAAACAGAGGTTGATACAATCAGGGAGGGAACATAAGGCTCTGGTTCTTTGTGAATAATGGATTGAGCGTCATGGCAACACAAACAAGACAGACACTAGGCACTTCAATGAAAAAAAAAAAAAAAAAGGATTAAACCTTTCCAACCCCCTCCCTACCTGAGTTCATGATATAGGGTCCGTTGGATATGCAGGAAGAAAAGAGTTCGTCAGATCCCCTCTGCATGAGAAAAAATATAAATAAAAGCTTATTATACTGGGTAACAGATGAAAGCTATAGCAGGTGAGAAGCACAGATCTCACGTTACTCAGCAATTGAGTGAAAACCAAGGAAGTAATGCGATAACCAAGAGATCTACCAGAAACAATGAAGAAGAAACTCCACCCTTCTCACTAGAAACAATTCTGTTGCCAAACTTGTCGAGTGTAAGAGTCTAGATCCCTTCTCACTATCCTTCTACAAAAGAGTTTGTAAATTAAACCTTTTTAAGAACTGAACTAAGGTTTGGCAATATGCTCTGTGTATAACAGTGAAAAAAAAAAAAATCAGCTTGAAACCAAGCGGCAGCATCATGTTGGGCTGATTGTGTGAATTGGTTAGAGTTATGGAGTACAGATTCGCCTTAAAATAGGACAACCCCCAAAAGACCATTTGAGACTGGAGCAAAGGCTAATTTTCACCTAAATCACAATCCAAACACGCACTGCAAATTATTTATTTTGATAAAAGCATATTAAAGTGAAAAAACTAAAGTCGACACCTTAATCTAATAGGAAAACTGTAGCAATTTTTTTTTAAATGCCATAAAGTGACTTTTTATTTCAACTTCATATTTTTACAAGCAGGAAAGTTAACAGAAACACTGACAAGCAGGGCAATATGGGAACCCTCACTTTAAAAAAAACCTGTTTGCTGTGTTCTGTTCAACTTCTCCTTAGGAGAAATAAAGTGCTGTTTCAGGCCTGTTTCCATGGCTCAGTGTATTTAGAGCTCACCATGATGAAGTATAGAAGTCACAAGAAGTGGCTCAGCAGTCTGGGCTCTACAATGGCTGTCCTGTTCAGGCTGAGACTAGGGCCATTGTTACAGAGCACTGAACACATATGGAGCCACAACGAGACTCTAGTATTTGAAGAGCCCAGAGCTCCTTTAACAGCAGCCACCAAAAACAGGTTTGCTAGCATTCTTCTCAAACTTGCACATCCAAATAATCAAGGTGCAGTCAATGAAAATATTCAAGTTTGAGAGAGGGAAGGGGCTGGACTGAAGTTCTGAAAAGGGAAAGTTACTAGCCATCCCTACAGATGCAAAGAGCTCATTAAACGCAACACTTATAATGGCCAGAGATGGAAACTTATAATTTAAAGACAGGGTATGCTGCTCTAATATGCCGTCAGACTTTTTGCCACTTTGCTTCATTGAAGGTTCAGAACCGTATAAAGCCATTCATCTTTCATCACCATCAAACAGTGTAAATAATCCAAGACTTGGTCTGGGACCATTTAAGTTTTTGTTCTAACATGCCTATACTTCAGCAATACTTCTTTTGCAAATAGCAGCAAGACTTAAGAATAGACAGAGATGCCCTCTACGGGGTGGTTGTGACATCACTGAAAGAATCCCTTCAGAGCAGAAGTTATGTTTATGGGATGGAACAAACCTTAATCTAATAATCCATTAAATGGACAAATCCAACAATCAGTGTCTGCAATCAGTTTCATCATGTAGAAAAACTACACAATATCCATACTTTAAGAATTCTTTCAAACGCAGAATTTATAACAAAAAAATCTATCCTGAGAATCAGCCAGCCTCGGCTAGAGGAACCTTTCAAACCAAATTAACCCTTCAAACAAAAACAACTAAATTCTAAATAGGTCTCGGTGAAGCTCAAAATATTAAGATGTAATACTTAATAAATAAAAAAAACCAGGCTGTACAATACAGTGGTTAGGGCTGTAATACTGGGGTCAAAAGTTCCACCAAGAGACAAAATGCAAACGATTGTAAAAAGGTGTGATGGGAAGGGAAATAAAAGAAGCTAAACTTTCAACAGATAAATGGAGATAATAGAGAGAGGCCCAATCCGACTCGGGTTGAATCATTAAGCAGACATTCTAGAAACAGGAAGTGCCGTTAGATTAGGCTTGGTTCAAGGGTTTTCTCAACTACCTCCAACTAACTCAGGGCCGAGTCTCTTATTCTTTACTTCCAAATCACAATAACAGTAGAGAAAAGCTAGAGTGTCACCTCAAAACAGAAACTACGGTTTAAATTATATAAGAACTGAAGCTTGAGGTTTCTTAAAAGATTGTGGCCCAGATGTTAAAGTGAAAAAAGAAACTAGCGCTAAAGTAGGCCGTGATCCTCAGTGCATTTTCAAAGCCCTTTCATCTAAAGACAGTGAAATGTGTCTCAGCTTGTTTACTCCTTTTGTTTGGGCTGGACTAGCAGTGTAATAGTAACCTTCAGGAAAAGTTGACACATCGCTGGCTAACACCCCAAAACAGCAAAACATCTCTATGTTAACAGCTATGATCAGATGTCCATTTTTTACCGCAGCAGCATTTGGGAAAAACTTATCATAAGGAGATATTTAGCCGCATTACAAAGTTAAAGTGAACATATTATGTGGTTCTGGTTAGAGGCCGCAGAACAAAGACCTCACAGGAAAAGCCTAAGGGGAGAAGGCTACAGGTAGAAACATGTTTCTACTACAAAAAGCCTTCTTCAGAAGAAGGGGGGAGGGAACAGGGCTTCAACAGGGGGGCTAAAAAGGGGGAGATTGGAATGTGACCACAGCATGCCAGACGTTGTGCCCAGACAGAATAATTACAGATTCCAGCCAGGCAAGGCTCCATAAGTCGGCATCATCATCATCACCACATGGTGTCATGAGCAGAAAACAGAAAAAGTTTAAACCCCTGTCTTCTACTAGTAAGGATTTTAAAAAAGGGAACGGCATCTGAGTATTCTTTTGTCAAAGATGTCTGACTAAAATGAATAGTGTCGGGTGTGTCCATGTAATAGACGCATGTAGCAGAGATCTTGTTTAAACATTGTAAAGACCTTTGGTCAAGAGTCTAAGCACTGCTGTGGGAGGATGGTTATGACTCTGAGTTACAATCAATTAGACACCCCCACACCACTGTTACCAGGGATCAGTGCCCAGGAAAGTATTTTTATAGGGGGTACATTAATTAACCCACACAAAGCATGACCTACATTAATGCAACACTAAAATGATTTCTATTCCCTTCAATTTAACAGCTTAGTGACACTATGTTTTGGTAATGCTCTCCCAAAAAACACAAAAAAACATCTTTTGGCCTAAATCAGGCGTCTCAACATTCCAGTAAGGCCGTGAGACCATGCAAATAACAGGAAGTGTCATTTCCACGGGAACAAATGCAAAACAAACATAGGGCAGGAAAACAAGGAGCCCCGCCTATGAAAAATGCTTTTAACTAAATTATTGCACATTCAGCATTCCCAGTCCTGGGTTGAACAGTGAGTTAAACAAGCTGACAGTTCAGATGTACATAATAATGTTTCAATACAGTCTTGTCAGCAACTGAAAACCTATGACATGCAGGCAACTGTTACAACAGCCCTTATAAAGAAAGCTGAGGCTGTGTGCATGAGAAGTTGATGTTTTTTTTTTTTTTTCCAAGAAAATGAATTTGCCTCCTTGCCAAATAGTACCAATATATTCCTTTCTCCTTAGATTTGCTCCCATTTGATTAAAACCATAGCGTTCATCATGTTTTTCTTCCTATTTATTAAGTTACCAGAAAATAAACAAACATACAAATGCACACAACTCATCTACAATGTAATTAGTATAAATTAATCTAAAGATTTACCCCATGCATCCAATTAAGAATTTAAATCTGGTTTGAATCAGTATTTAAGCAAACTGAGATATACAACAATTCAACAATTTATTACTGGATGCAAATAAATAGACACACGAACCACTCGGGCCAAGTTCTCAAAAGCTACAACAAACATCTTCACAAACTTCATGGATTACCAAAAGGTATTTATTCACAGTTTTCTAAAGGTTCCAGATACGAATTGGGTTTTAGAAGACAATCTTTTATTAAAAAATGCTGATAAAAATGTGCAGTGGTGCATATAATTACATGCTATTGGTAGAGATATTTAAAAGATAAAGCATCGATTAGTTTGTACGCACTTAATCAATTGTTAGAATGATCACCAAATCAATTATTTTGATTAATTTGCGTGGGAAATCCAACAAATTCCTACTGCAGGGCGATTCACTGATGCACATTTAATGTTAACAGAAATTTAGACCCATTAAGGAAAACACAAAGTAAAGCTAAAAGTGAAAATTAAGATGGGTTTTTTAATAAATTGAGACCAAATACTCGTGAATCTAACACATTTAATCATCTAACCCTGGAGATGCATAAATAAATTGTTTACCAACTGTTCCATTTCTGATCTGGCACTCAGAGGTCTTAAAAGATTGAGAGTGCGGCCAATAAAAGCTTTTATATAAGTGCTAAACTGTCTAGCCCTAATCAACAGCCAAAAGTCAATACAAAGCAGTAAAAACAAAAAAGTCAAACGTTGCCTACCTTTGTGCCAACTGATATGTCATGGACACTGCTGTGAAAGAAAAAAGGAAAAAAGTTCAACATTGGCAGCTGATAAAAACAACAACAGATCATTTAATTTTTGTTAGGAAAATAAAGTTATCCATATAAGTGAAAGTTGTGACTTCCTCCTTTTAAGATCGGTTATTTAAAAAGTGAGGGAGGAAGTTAAAATGAGACATTCAGCAATGCCCCCCCAAAAAATAAATAAATACTTACTCAATTTCAGGGACGTAGCCGGATCCCAGAGGGTACAACTCAGTGGCGTCTAAACGGCTAAAAGATACAAGCATAAAAAAAAACTTCAGGAGTGGAAAATTTACACCAGATAACAATGACACCAGAGTCGATTAAGTTGTTTTTCGCTTCACACCTTTTCAGCCCTTTTGTTAAAATCGGTTAAACTAGCAGAACACGTTTGAACAACACAATACTCTTATTACTCTCGGATAAGATAACTTGATGAAATCAACGTGAAATGTTGAGGCCAGACATCTTCAACATGGCCCTGAAACTCCGCGGACAAATGAATGCGGAAATGGGACACGTTGCTTAAGCTAACCTCTCGAGCTCGCGTAAAAACCAACTTACAAAGGTACAGTTAGCCACAGGGAACTACTGAGACTGCGAGAAAACAACAAACCGTTGGTGAAAATTAAGCCAATAAAAAACTATTTTGCGTTTCATCAAACAAATCTTTCTTTGGAGTTGTGTTTGCACATAACGGGCATATATAACAGTTAAAAATAACAACTTGTAAAGAATAGCAGTGACGCTACCAAAAGCTAGCAGCTAGTTAGCGTTTCCTCCTGCTAACTGTTGCATGTTTTGAAGAGGGAAAAAAAAGTGTTTGGGGTAAAGTTTTACCGCTCCAATGGTTAAACAGCGGCAACCAGAGAAGTCAAAACACTCACATAAACGCTAAACATGCTGTATACATTCACTTTTAAACGATTCTTTTAGAAAATTAAGTATTTAAGTAAGCTTCTTTTTACTTACCCGTCCATTGCACAAGAAAAAAACTGCAGGTCTGAAGCGAAGGTAGGGCGGCAGACTTGCTTGATTTTCTTACAAAATGGCTGAACACGCCGAGGCGAGCGCTGATTAGTCCAGGCAGCTCCAAGAGCCAAAAAGGGGAGGGGACAGGTCCAAAGGCGAGCGCTGATTGGCCAAGACGACCATCATTTTGATAAAAGAACGAAGGCCGCGGCAAAATTTCCAGCAGGATCTATGAAGTGGTTTGGGTTTTGTTTGAGTCCAAAGTGATGGGTAACTGCGAATGAGCACACGAAAACACTGAAGCGCATTTCCTAACGTGTCTCAGTGTGTGAGAGAACTAAAAGTGCTGGATATCTACCCACTTGATTCTACAAACTAACAGTTGGGAATATAAAGTGCATTTACTGTCTACATATTTCAACGAAGTTAAACTCCTCTTCTAAGTAGTACGTGTAATGTTATTGTCTTATAAATTAAAATAGACATTCTTACTATACATACTTAACCTTCTCAAATGTACACGTTTTGACAAAAATCTTTCCACTGCAAGGCTTTTCATGCTGGAAGGGAGCCCCACACCCCAGCCTGGAGGTTTTCGTCTTTCCTTACATTTATATCAATCTTCCAATCAGGGGCGGATTTAGGAAATTTGGAGCCCAAAGACAGGCATGGGGCCCTCTCAATTGAGAAGACAACACATAAAACAGACCCATTATACACAAGAGTGTAACTTTGTGTTGCAGATATCCCAAGTCTCCTGGAAGTTCCAGGAATCTCCCTGATATCGATAGTTGTTCACGGATGCCAGCAAATCAGATAAATTATCCCAGATTTTAGACTGCGCAGTGGTGTTTTTTTTTATGTGAGTGAGAGCGGCCAGGCAAAACAATAATTTGTGCATCATGTGCAGATTAGAACTACTGAGACTGCGCAGACAACAAGAGAACGCAGGGTGTAGGGAGGAGGTTGCTGGTGAAACCTGTGCAGCGTATCTGTCCAAAACGATGCTCTGTTCAACCAGCATTCCAGGCGACTGGTTGATCAGAGAGCTGATTGGATCCGTCTGCTAGGTTTCTCTGGGTTACTCTCTAGTAGTCACCTAGTTACCACTCAAAGCTGTGCATCCTGTGAAACAGCAGAGGTTGAATCCTCGAGTAAAAAATGAAAATATCAGACTAATTTTACAGCAGAATATACTAAAGTATATCCACATCTAGTGAAAGTGAGCAACAGTGGCGGATCTAGACCAAATGTACCAGGGGGCCAGCATGTTTTCATGGGGGCACAGAAAAGCATGAAATAAAAAAAAAAAACAGGGCAAGAGATTTAAATATATTAAGAGAGCTGAAATTTATTTTCAGCTAGGTTCGATAAAAATTCTATTACTTATGAGGTCAATATGCATTTCTAATTTAGGAATTTTACATATTTTTGACTTAATTTAAGTTAAAATTACCGTTTTCTATCAAATTTAGATTAGAATTCAAGAAAAACTGTTAAATTCATCTGTAAAAATTAGAGCATTTTTTTTTTCTATTTGTTGTGAAGAAAACTGAATGAAACTGATGAAAACTGGGATCCTACCTCAGTACCACTGAAGCTATCACCTTACTGTTTTTGAATAGTTAGTAAAACAGAACTTGTAAAGAAAAATAGTGAAATAGATCCAAATGACCTATCAGTAACCATGTCTGTTCCAGCGCATATCATCAATAGAATTTCTTGTAAGTATTATGTCTTCAGTACAGGGGCCAGGACATGATCTAGAGGGGCACTGGCCCCCCTTGGCCCCTGTCTAGAACCGGCCATGGTGAGGAATGATGACACCGTGACGAGGTGCACTGTATGCTGAAGTCCCATGAAAAACAGAAAGCACAACCGATGTTCAAGACTACAAAATCGAAAGTATTAAAAATAAAAGACCAATACTGTTCTGTTTTCTGTTTAAGAAACTACTGTTAGTTGTTCCTAACTACTGTTGTTAGGGCCCAAAAACATTAATGTATATAAAAAAAATACCGAATAACAGCCAATTCCAATGCCAAAGTTGATAAAGGATGCATCCCTAGAAGTACAAATTCATTCCATCCATCATAAAAAAAAAAATCTGGATATGCTGCATTTTAAATATAGTATATCTTTTTTTTTCTTGTAAGCTTTGTGATAAACTTGGAGATATATTTTATTACATGTTGCATATCCCAGTAAATCTGTTTCACCTTTAAATCTGTTGCTCTCCCTACTTCTCTCTGTGCTCTGTTTAAAAAGATTTATAAAACTCTTTATGAATATAATTATGCCAGAAACAACATTTCAAGATATGTAGAAGCTCTGCAGTCTGATTCTGTCTGTTCAATAAGAAAACATTTTGTTAATTTTAACCCGTAACTGGAAATCACGGTCCTCTGAGAAGCCAAGATTTTTTTCAACAAGTAAAGAAGAACATTTACACTGTTTTCTCAAGCTTCTTGCATTATATTACTAACTTGTATAAACTTACAATCTGTTGCTGTTTTTAGCTGAAAAAGCTCTGTATCTGTAACGAATGGATTTTTCTGTGGCATCTTTAATTTTTTTTAAGCAACCTGTCTCCTATCTTTTACTTAAACATACATCAAAGTAGCTGCCCTTTGGTGCTGCTGTGTTTCTCTCCTTGCGACCGCAAATCAGATGTCTGAAAGTAACAGATACAATCATGTTAAACTGAGAGACGGGACAAGGAGCAGCGTGAGAAAGGAAAAAAACACAGACTCAAAACTCTCTGAATACATTGAGCTGCATCCAACTGTATGAATCATGACAGCAGACAAGAGAGAGGAGAGCAGGAGGCGGGGTTACCAATCTACTTGCTCGGGAGAGCAGAGTTCGGTGCTTTTATATGTTGTCGCCAAAGTCTCCAGTAGCAGAATAAAAGTAGCAAGATTTAGCACTAGGACCTTTTTTGAAATAAAAAGTCTGAAAAGTCACTAAATACAGCGACAAAAGCAACACTGCTCTTTGCACTGTTTGTTTTCAAATGGTTTCCTGCTGTCTGTGTGGATCTTTTTGAACATGTGCAGTAAAATGACTGATCCAATGTGGTGGACACTGAATGCATTCTGATGGCATTTTAGAGAAAGGATTTTAATCAAAAACAAAATTAATGTGCACAAATAAGGAATAGTTGTATGAAGACTCAGACAATCTTCTGCTGTCCAGAAAAATAATCCTCCCCAGCATGATGATGCTTCTGCCACATCAAGTGGTGGATGCTGGGAAATGTACCATACTGCAAAAGGTTCAGTTTTGGTCTAATCTTACTATCTAAAGCGCTCACTTGCTTTTTGCAGCAAACCCAATGCCACACTCTGTACACACAGAGTGTATGCAAAACAAAACTTTATTCATGCAGCTCTCAAGACATTTTGCTTTCTAGCGTGCAGCAGTGATCAAATGTAAACATGGTGATCAAATAGATATGATATACAGTTTTCCAACATTCAGCACTTTTTTCAGATAGTAAATGAACATTTCTATTCCTTAAAGTGCAGCAGTGATCAAATGTAAACATGGTGATCAAATAGAAACATAAGACTGAGATTTGATTTACAGTTTTCCAACATTTAGCACTTTCTTTCAGATAGTAATTGAACATTTCTATTCCTTAAAGTGCAGCAGTGATCAAATGTAAACAATTTTGGAGAAAAACCATGGAGCAAAAACACATTTACGTTCAGAGCATTAATATATATGCAGTATTTTTGGTTTGGTGTTGTCAGTGTGATGCAGAGTCTGTGACATGATTTAGAGTTTTTTCAACAGTTCAGCAGTCTGATGGGGTTGGGAAGAAATTGTTGCAGAATTTGCTAGACGTGCATCAAATGCTGCAAAGTCTCTTCCCAGAGGGCAGCAGGGAGAACAATCCAGCAACAATGGCTGTAAAAACAAAACATTTCTATAACATTATATTGGGCCCTATCAGTTAGAGGTAATTAAGACATTCAGGGTTTTATTTAGACGTATAGGGTTCACTACGATTACATAAAGAGCTTTTTAGGTTTTTCAGATCCAGTGTACTGTATATGCCATCTATTTATTTTGGTTACTTATCAGTTTTTGTATTCAGGTTTTATTTTTTTATATATTTGGCAACAAAAACATCCGTAATGCTCAATGCAGTTATGAAAGAAGCATTTTTGCTATTGTGTTTTTCTCTTGAGAGGTTATAATTTATGATTCAAATCTTTAATTACGTCTAACAAATGCACAAGCTCAATCTTTTGAGCTAATTTGGGAATTTAACACTTCAAACATCGTTATGAAAGCCACAAAGAGAAATGTAAAGGTCACCTGGAACTCCCTGAGGACTAATAGAAACTCCCAGAGGGGTTGAACTATTCGGGAAGGATTGCATGATACTGAATATAATGGGTGAGGAACAGCACCAGTTTAGGTGGGGTAAAGGTGGGTGTAAACAGATATTTAGTTTCAGGTCCTGAATGAACTTGTTTTTTTTTTTTTTTCTAAATAATTGCTTAAACAAGAATAATACAAATGTATACAACAAATATGAAACCTTAAAACCTATTTCCAAAAAGCAAAACAAGCTAATTTAGATTCAAGATAATTATCAAACATTAGCGCAGGTATAATGACTTTTAAAATAGGCCTATTTATATTATATTCTGCTATTGACATATTTATTGCTGTTTACTGTATGTATTGCTTCTGTCTCCTTGAGCCCCAGTTCAGCAGATGGCCGCTCACACTGAGCCTGGTTCTG